TATTCTCATATTCATATTGAATGTTCCTTCAAGAATGAAATGGGATGTTCATTTTTGCTCTATATTCCGTGGGGTGAAAACTTCAAATCAACTTTTTCGGGGAAAACTCAAGTTAACGTTTTTTATTTTTATGTTTTTTTTTCTATATTCATTATTTTATTGAACTTGAACATTTTATTAAAACAACGATTAAAATAAAAACAACAATAAAAATTAATTGGCGCTCGGGGGCGACTTCATTGATTCCAGTGGCGCATTTGCTTTTTCAGCTGCAGGAAAACCCGGAAAAACCTGCAGCACCACATCATTTGAAGATCTTGATCTAACAATGTCCTCTCTCTTATAAAACAAAATGTAGGGTGTCTCCAGAAGCTCCAATAAATTAAATGCATCAATGATTTTGGTAGAATAAAATGGCTTTATTGAATGTCATTTTACTACCATTTCTAGTTTTTATCTATTCAGCACTAAACAAATTTTTGATGTAGATTAAGATACATAATGTTCAAATATAATATTTTTCAAAAGAATGGCGTTTTTGTTTGTTTTATATTCAACTCAGAAAATCAGGCATGTAAATAAATTGTTTATTTGCGATTTATTATTGTATTGACAATAATGCACTGCAAAAATTGTTTCGTTCTACAATAAAAATAACAATCAACCCAATATCTTGAACAATTAGGTATGTGAACCTGCCCAGTTAGAGAATGGATTTTTTGCTGATGATCACCTTATCAAGTTTTAAAAATTCTAAATAACACCCATTTCCAATTTCTTAACAATTGTTAGAACTACTTTCAAAACAAAAAATACACTGAGATCTATACTCACACATACAAAACCCAACAACACTGAAGAAAAAACAAAAAATTGCATTCATGAGATACCTTGCTCTTCTGGAAAAAGTTATATTGGTGAAACTTCGAGACCATTGAAAGTGCGTGAGAAAGAACATCGAGATTACATCAAAAATAGACAATTGGCAGGATCTAAATTGCCAGAACACATTTTAAAATCAGACGGTGAACATTGAGTTGAATGGAACAAGACAAGAATGATTACAAATAAGTCTCACTCTGAGCGACGTAAGCTAAAAGAATCAGCTTATATTCTCATATCTGGAGAGAATTCTATTTCAAACAGCTCCTTAGAAATAGACTGTACTTGGCTACCCATCTTGAAGGAAAATTTGGATAGTGGCGAAATGGCAACAGACTGAACACCTTGTATTACATCGAATGTTTCAGTTGTCAATCAACAACATTGACATAATTTCATATTTCAAAACTCTTTTGACATCTGTCGAAGAAGTTGAAAAATAAATAATCAAAAAGGAAAAACCGCCAATTTCTTAGAATTTTTTGTCCATTTCTGAAGAAGGAGGCATATTTTGGCCTCCGAAACGTAAAGATAAGGATTGTATTATTTCTTAGCAATTTATAAATAATCAAAAAGGAAAAACCGCCAATTTCTTAGAATTTTTTGTCCATTTCTGAAGAAAGAGGCAGATTTTGGTATCCGAAACGTAAAGATGAGGATTATATTATTTCTTTGCAATTTTTTGATAGGCAAAATTGTTAAATACAACAAGTTACTGATAAATAGAACATTTTTTTGTGAAAAATAATTTGATTTTACACACTAACTTATCAGGGTAAACTGAATTCTTTGCAATTTTTTGATAGGCAAAATTGTTAAATACAACAAGTTACTGATGAATAGAATATTTTTTTGTGAAAAATAATTTGATTTTACACACTAACTTATCAGGGTAAACTGAAAAGTTTGCCCTTTCTACACTTTTTCCATTTATTCAAATAAGTGAAGTGTACATTTATCAACTATTATAAATTATTAATAGCGAAAGAATACCAGTAAGAGACAAGGACATCTAGGCATGAAATGCCTGTGCTATGACCCAATCTCAACTGCTTTCTTCATATAATTGTACAATAAATTGTATTTAATATTTTTTTGTAGATTTCAGTTCAACTGGAAGGGCATTGTATAATTTAGGTGCGAAATTCACCTCTTTGTATAATGAAACAGTGGAATAAGTCCATTTTTTTCTGAGGATCAATTTCAGTAACATATTTTTGAGCAGTTTGAAGATTTTGAAGTATAGTTTTAAATGTTCCACCCCAAGCTGAATCAATATGTTATAATTGATTCGGCTAGTGCATTATATAACATCATAAACGTTTTATTCGTAAGAATATCTCTCAAGGAATAGAATTTATGAAATAATATTCGAATTTGAATTTTTTTTGTAATATATGTAACGTGATCATACCATCTTATATGTTTCTCTATAATAACACCTAAATATTTCATATTGTCAATTTTTTGAATATTTGGACATTTACAATTCATATTATTACATTGTAATTATGTAGTTTTAGTACGAGTTCTGAAGGTTGATCAATAATAGTTGGAAAGAATGTTATGCATTTTGTTTTAGGTAGGTTAAGGCTCAGTAAATTATCATTCAACCACAGTCGCACCTTCTCCAAATCACTTTCTGCAAAACTCTTATCAATAGTAGATTAAAAAGCGGACAAATTAATTTGTAGGTAGTGATTCCACCAGTTATTCACCAAGAAATCAATTAGGATAATCATCATTCAACAAACAAAGTCCACATCGGACCAAAAAACTTTGGGTATATGAACAGCTAACCCTTGTCTTTTGATTCAGTATCAATTTGCTGCTCCTGAAGATGCTTACCTTGTTAGCAAAACGCGCGTCAAGTGCAAAAATATCAGCTTGGTGTTAGGATAATTGATCTCTAGAAAAAGTTTTCAACTTTTACACCAAAGGTTCCAATTTCATCGTTTAAACCGATTTTTGTGAAAATATTAGTGTTTTTGGGTACTTTCATCAATATGGCTTTCTGGAGACCTTTTGAAACAGATGATAACATTACGTGTGCGGAATCTGTGTCAGTCGACAGGGATCCGGACTTTGAAAATAAGGACATACATGTTCAAATTCATCGAGTAATTTTAAATATTCATGAATGCTTGAAGATGGAAAACTGTCACACTTCACATAATGCTATTGTGAATAGAATATGCGAGTTAACGAAACTATCTCGTTCGACAGTTCTTCGAGTCATTAAAATAGGAGATGTCATTGACCATGCAGTGAAATGAAAACAAAGGAATAAAAAATTCGCAAACGTTGGTTGATGGTGCTACAAAAGATGTGATTCAGCGAACAATTTATGGTATACACCAAAAAAATGAATATATAAATGAGTATAAATTACTCGACTATCTCGATTACAATTACAAATCTTTAGAAACTCTACGAGGTGTCTTATTGTCTTGTGGTTTTAAATTTAAAAAATTGAACAATTGGATGGTCATAATGAAATCGACACGCATTGTTCAACTCCGACAAGGATATTTGAGGCGAATGAAAAGCTACCGAGAATCAAGAACAGAACTAGAAACAGAACAATTTCTGTTCAATAAGCTGAAAAAGATTTAAAAAATTTAAATTTGGGCAAAAAGGAATAGCATCAGTGTATAGAGAACAAAATCCTCAGTCGATCAGTATATACAACGACACAATAGAATAAAGACTTTTCGAGATATGGTGCTACAAAAACACTTGATATTGAAACGTATAAACTAGATATTCAAGTGAAATCCACTGAAGACTTCACAAAACGGAATATGGAAACGGTTGAGGAAAACATTGTGTAGCGAAACACTTATTACGGTTTTGAAAACTGTCCAGTGAAAATTTCGCAACGAAGTTTTACTTGAATACTTTTTGTATTTTCATCAAAAGTCAGCCAATTTCATCACATGATGAACAATAATATACATTATCATTTATTTACCAAAATTCTCGGGATTATCAAAGAAAAACTTCGATTTCGTGATATAGGTATACCAATGTTGACAATCAAAAAAATGCTGGAATGAACTACATATACGGCATACTCCAGTCATTTAAGCTTAAATTAGGTAAGAATCTCGGAATTCGAGATACCCAGCTGTAAGTCTGTAAATACTTGTATATTGACACCCTAAAAGTTGTCTCAAAACCTACATATGGTAGGGTGTAAGCAACTATTAAATTTCAAGGTCAAAGGTCACAAAAATCGGTTTTTTGCGCTTTTTTTGGAAATATCTCATTTCCTATGGGTTTTTTGCTATTTGTATT